GAAACTACATGGACCCTAGAGCAACTATTTAAAAAATCAAATAAATTAAATATAATATAGAGATAATATCATATCTATATTCAATTAATAAATTTTATTTTATTTAAAAATAAAATTTATTTTAAAAATAAATTTAATAAAAAACTATAAATAAAAAACTCAAAATAAATCAATAAAAAATTAGAAAAAAGACATAGAAAATATATATATTTAATAAATATTAAAGGATAAAATTAAAAAAAAAATAACTTTAAAAAAATTAAAGTAATCCTAAATGAATTTTTTAAAATTAGATTAATTTCTCAAACTTATAATACATGAAATTCTAGATATGAGTGTAATTAAGAAGCTTAAATTTAAATTAATTTAATATTAAATAATAAAATTAAAAAAGAAGTATTAATCTAAAAATTTTGCTAAAAATAAAAAAACAATCAAATAAATTCAAATAAAATCTAATAGGAAAAAAAAACAAAGGAAAATAAAATTGTAAAAAGAAATCAATTTAAAAAATCATCTTAGATTATATAAATAACTATTAAAAGATTAAGGATTAAGTTTGATAAATAAAAAAATTAAAAGAAGAAGAAATTAAATTAAAATTTTAATTTTATAAATTATTTTAAATAAAATAAATAATAATTAAAAAACAAAATAAAGGGAAAGAGCAGTCGAAGGGCCAATTTAAAAAGGTTACGGGTAGGACACGAAGATCGACAAGGAGAGGAAAGATAAAAGAAAAAAATAATTAATGGCCCCAAACGTCCTATTCTCGTACGTAGTACAATGTATGGTGTTTTTACTTTTTACCGTCCCTTGCTTTATTTTTAACAGTATGACAGTAAAAACACTATTCCCTTGCTTTATTTGTTTTTTTGTTTTTTTATAATAATTAGTAGATGCGATGATAACAGCTGATAAAGTGGATTGTTTCCAAATCTTTGTAAACAATGTTCAAATGTTCGATTCCAAAGGAAAATCACAAATGAAAGGGATTTTGATTTAAAAAATAAATAAATAAAATTCCCTTTGAGTTTTTTTTGGAGTACAAAACAGAGGGTTGATCCCGTTGTGTTGAGATATGGAATATTGTGTACTTATTGTGTTATATAATTATGTTGAACTATTGAGCAAAACGAATAATTTTCAATATATCTCTTTATTTAGTAAGGAAATTATTAAAGTAAATATTCTCAATTATTTTTTATTAATTAAAATAAAAAAAAGGAATTGAACAGATTATTACAATCAAAAAATTATTTTAATTATCTAATCAAAGAAGATGATTATACATTTTGTATAATTTGTTTACATGTCTTATATTAAAATTAAAATAAATAAAAGGCTCCAAACTTTCACAGTGGATTTGAAGTCAAACTCTAAGCATTTGCATAATGTTTTGCTATTTTTTTTAGTTTTTTATTATTTTTAAAATTATATAATTCTATATTATTGGAATTTGAGATTGGTAATTTATATTTTTATATGCTTAGTCAAGTCTAACAAAAAAGATTTTAAGGTTAAACATTAAGGATTTGCACAATATTGTGTGATCATGTTAGTGCTTGATGTCATAAATTTTATTTTATTTTATTATTTTTAAAAGATTAAAAATAAAATAATTAAAATTAATAAAATAAAATAAAATACAATTGGTAGACCTTTTGTTTTTTTTTTAAACTATGGCGTAAACTTTGGTCTTTTGTTTTTTTCATTAATATATTTTTCATTTGATTTTTCAATATTTTATTTATTAAGATTTGAATTGATAATTTATTTTAATATATTTTTTATATGGTTATCTCAATTTTTTTAAAAAAACCTTGCCATTAAATTAATGCTTGGTTTTATAAAAAAGAATCTTATTTTTTTATTTACAAGAAAATTAAAAATAAAAGGACCTTTAGTTTAAAAAATGGGAAGATTTTTATTTTTACAAATGTAAGTTGAAATTTGTCAAATTTACTTTTCAATCTCTTTAGTTTTAAAATTATATAATTTAATCCAATAAATTTATTCTACTTATATTTAATCTCTAATTAGAGAGATAATTAGAGAGAGAAGAGAGACTTTAAGTTATGTGAAGAAAAGAGAAAGTTGATGAACTACTTGTTTTCTAAAGTGAAATCAGACATTTTTAGTGTTAATGATTTTCATTTAACTATTAAAATTCTATTCAAATATATTATACAAGTTATTTTAAAATATTAATAAATCAATTAATGATATATTTTAGACAGCATTTTAATATATTCCATTTAACTTTTATTTTGTTTTGAAATGAGATAATAGAATTTTTTTTTTCTAGTATCAGTTCATATTCTTTTGAAAAATTTTATTCGATTGCTTAATTGATATTGTTTATTTTTATTATCATATAATTAAATAAAAAATAATTTTAAAATAATTAATTATTAAAGCCACATGAGTTCATGATCTAAGTGGCAAGCTTGGCAAATCCATTTGTATCGATTCAATATATACCATTTTAATATTTTAAAAAATAATATTATCTTGATTTTTTGAAATTAAGCTACATTTTTATATGTTATATATTATTTTTGAAGTTTAATTAACCCATATACGGTTGTTTTAATTCAAATTGTAATGTTTTGTATTAAAAAGTTGAAAAAGATAATAAAATCCTTGGAGCCTTAAAGAGAAAGTATGATTAAATGAGGGGTATAGTAATAATTGAATAAAGAGATACTAAATATAAATAAAAAAAAGAAAAAAAAGGAAAGAGTGATCTGAAAATTGAAGGAGCAAACCGTGAGAGAGAAGAGAAGAAAAAGAAAAAAACCGTGAGAGAGAAGAAAAGAAAAGAAGAAAAAGAAGAAAAAAAAATTAGAAAAAAAATAGAAAGGAATTGAAGAAAAAAAGTTAGAGAAATAAGATTTATGCTTTAATAGGTATAATATGTTTTCTTTAACTTTAAATTTTGACTTTTATGAATGTGGAGGTTTTGAAGATTATGTTTTAAGTTTGATTGATGAATTAATTTGAATATTATAGGGTTGATTATTGTGGGGAATTGATTATTTAGTTGAATATGGAAGATTGTGATGATTTTGAGTTATTAATTGTGTAAATGGTGAATTTTGAGCTAGAAATTTAGAAAGAACAATAGGTAATCTGTGGAAATTTTGGGCTTAAGGTTAAAGATAAAATTTCTATTTGGTCTCTTAATTTGTAAAAATTACAATTTAGTCCTCAAACTTTAAAAAAATTACAAATGGGTCCTTGGAGCATATTCTGGGATTTTGAACAGAATAAAAGATGAATTATAGGTATAATTATTATATAGTTATGAAATTTTAACACTTTCAATTTGGTCTTTCAATTTGACCTTTAAAACTATGATAAATTTCAAATTAGTCCCTAGCTATAATATTAGCTTTCACAGATTGGTTTGATGAATAATTGAGGGTTATTTAATAAATTATTACTAATTTTATCATTTATTTTATTATGAATTGGATTTCAAGAAAATTGTTAATTTTAGATTTTTGAAAAAATTAACTAGTTAGTTCAAAAATATATAGGGTTACAGAATATACTCTTAGTTAAATGTATGAAATAGGTTAAATTTTATTTCTACTCGTTCTAAAATATATCTTCTTTGTATTCAAATAATCATGATATTTTACCGGCGAGACATAATAGGATTTTCTTCGATGTCTGTTTTTGGTTTTGTTTGCTTTTGAATCAAGTGAGTGGATAATTTTTTATATGCATGAAAAATATTATAAATATTTCATTCGTTAATATGAATTGGATCATGCTTCTTGATAATATATATGCTAATTATTATTCTTGTTATAATAAAACATGATCAATTGTTGAATCTATATTCTTAATATGAAACAATATATATTTTGAATTGGCTTTTGAATTTATAACTCCTCGTTTGATTGATATCATGAGTTGAGACTTGAGTATAACTATGTCTATTTGATTATGATTATGAATCTATAATATGCTAGTCAGAATACCTATGCTAACAGGCTAGTGATAGTTTTTGTGCACATCGTATCTAAATCCTAGTTGTTCGGGAGAGCCACCAACCTGTGCGGATTTACTATCCCACAATACGAAACCTCATACTCATTATATTTTGATTTTCTAACGAATTTTATCTTATTATATTCTTATTATGGCCTATTTAAGGAACCATACTATAAGAACCTAAAACCAATAACATATATATATATATATATATATATATATATATTTCTCATTGTTGTATTACCTCGTGTGTGTATATTGAACATTATCTACTCACTGAGTTATTAAACTCACACTCTTATTATTTATCTTTTTCAGGCTTAAAGTTTGATAGCAAATTATTTTTATTGGACCTTTCGAACCTATTTTTTGGTTAAAATTTGTAACTTCTTTTTATATCTAGTTATTGCTTCAAAACTATGAAATTATATTAACTCCTGATCAAGATAATAGATAATTAAATTATATTATAAAATTAATTTGCTATTAATGCTGTATTTAACTTTAATTGAATTATTTAATAAATAAGTTTGTATATAAATTTGGATTCGTATAAATATAAAACTTTGAAGTGAAATTTTGAAAAGAAACTTTGTCTATATACCTATCATGAATCCAAAAATCAAATTTTAACACAAACCTAGCAATTGAATTAAATTATAAATTCATAAATTAAAACATATTAAAAATTCAAGCCACAAGCTAGTTATTTAGTAAACTCTATATAAGTTAATATACAACATATATGTAGAGTATCAATATAAAATTTCTACCCTCTTATGAAAGGAATCTAATTATTTTTTAAAATTTTATTTTTATCAATATTTTCAAAATTATAAAAAAAATATTAAAAAACAACCATCACCAAAGCAGATATAAAAGTGGAGCATTGATGAATCCATATGGAGAAAATCCAAGTTTAACTCCCACTCTATCCACAAATTAAACAAACTAGGATTTATTTTATTCAGACAACCAAACACCATCTTATCTTCACCAGCACTTAACCCCTCCTCTTCAATCTCAAACTGAGCGTGAGCGGAGTCAGCCTCAAATAGTACTCATACCTCAAAAGGAAAAAAAGAAATTGTAAAGAAAAAAATCAATCAGATGACGAAGGCGAAGAAAGAATTGCTATCGAAAGCACCATGGAGAGGCGAAGACGACGATGAATCCAATAAATTCAAAGACGCAAAACTCAAAGTCACCAGCCAACCTGGTTCCACGCCTACTATGCACGTCCCTCGTAAGAAGAGCCAACGTTTTGACGATGAAGATGACGATGATCAAGCCCTCGAAATCGACCCTGAACTTCGTTACAGTTTCCAGCGCAACTTTCAGGTATTTCTCTGATTGCACACAAGGTCTTTGATAATTGGTTTCTTTCGTATTTTGAACTTTTTTTTTATTGAGTGTGAATTAGTTTCTAGATGAATAATGGTTTTTTTTTTCCTTGTAGTTTCTTCAAAGGGTGTTTAGTATTGATACTGTGGTGAAGCCTCTTCCTCCGGCTATGGCGTATAATGTTTCTCGAAATTTGAGCTTTTTTACGCGTATCTTTACGCAGTTCTTTGGTGAGTTTGATTTCCTTTGTTCTTTAGGAGATTGCATATTGAATCATTCATCATTTCTAGCATATGAATTATTAGTTATTGCTTTCCTTTTTATTTCATTTTGTTGTGATCAGACTGTACATACACACGCACTTTCCATACACAAAATTGTTTCCTGCAATCGTCGTGCCTGTCTCGGTGTTTCTGCAGTGTATATAATTTGCTAGAGTTAGTTGATATTTCATTTCTATATATTTTGGGGCTGTTAATCTATGTCGACACTTGAAATGGTTGGTCATTGGGCTTAACTCCATGCATCTTCTATGCAAAAAGAAATAGGTCCAGGAATCTGTTTGCCACGTAAATGCTTAATGGGTGAGCATGATTACATCAGGTTCAATTAACAAAAACAATGTCTTGTAGATCCACAACTGAATTGTAGGAAACTGCAACTTCACAGGAAAAGAGTTGTTGACTTTGATTCCACCCTAGCTATCGTCTTCAAAGAAATTTCTGTTAATCTTTGATGGCACTTGATGGTTGGTTATTGTTCCACGCACCTTTTATGGAATAAGAAATAGGTGCAGGAAACTTGCACCTCACAAATGCTTTATGTGCGAGCATGAATAAGTCAAGATCAATTAACAAATAAAAAGTCTTGTAAATCCACAGCTGAATTGTGGGAGACCGCAGCTTCACAGGAAGATTTCTCGACCTTGATTCCACCCTGGCTATTGTATTTATAGAAATTTTATCATGTAATTATTTTGGTTTATAGTTTCTTCCATGTAAATTAGGCCAAGTCATGATTGATTGTAATAGCGAGTTGATTTCCATACCACGTTAATTTTCTTTGTCAGGAGTATTGATTTCTTGTTGGGATTTGATGTATTGCAGATCCTGAAGGTATTGCAAATGCGCAGAAATCTCTTGGGTTAGGACAGGAAGAAAAAGCTCGGCGTGTCCGTTGAGAACTGACATCCTAGCATACTTTTGCTATGTAATTTTGATTGTATCTGGATCTTTGTTTTGTCAAGAATTGTTATGCATGACCTATTTTTTCTAAATCAGAATTTCTATCTTGTCCTACATCTCTAGGTGATAATTTAAATTTTACTTCTATGGTGAGAGTGCCTATCTTCTTGGTGTTGAATCCTGCTTGAAGGAAAACCAGTCACTTAATGTTTATATGGAGGTTTGAGGCAGACAAGTGCGTGGATCAATTTTGCCAGAGAAATTTACCCTAAGCATGACAGCAGAAACTGCTGATCAGAATTCCCAAAGAGTAAAGTCTGATACCAAGGGAAAATTATTACAAAAGGTCGCATTTCAGAGTAAAGCCTGATACCAAGGGAAAATTATTACAAAAGGTGCACCCTTTTGAGGTGGTTTATCAGTACATAGTTACTTGAATCCCTCTTGAAATTTAGATTTAAGAGATGAAAGACGTTTTGAAGATGATGATCAGTTTGGGATTTCTCTACCTTTCTGTTTCAGCAACAACTTAACGTTCCCAGCTAATTACCCATCTATTAGCCTTGTTACATTCTTAAACACTAGAAATCAAAATCAAAAGCAAAATCTTTACAGAACTGTTCAAAGGATTCAATCACTTCAAAATGCAGATGACAGGGAAATTGTATACCAAGTAACATTTTACTAATATTAGGTCGTAACTATTACTCATTGCAAGAATACACTCCACAATCATGGATTTTTCTGTACTATCACTCCCGCAGTTCCCCAAGTGAACAGAGCTAACAAACCATTTCAACTCTGCAAAACTCAATGCAATCAAAAGAGCTCAAGTTAAAAATCTAGATTTCAGCCATCTCGTTTGACAAGAAACAGGCATCTCCAAAGAAAATGAATGATCTAAATGTAATATAACAATGCTTTCATTATCCGAATTCCTGAATGCACTCTCTCCTGTGGATCTGTAGGTGGGGAGAGAGGAGGTAGTAGCTGAACAAACAACCATCACCAGGATGTTAAGCTCTGCCATGTCAAATGCTCATGTCCAAGAATGTTATATTCATCCAAAAACATAAAACCATGTATTCACTAATTGTCGACAAAACGATGCCACAACAATGTTTAAGAGTAGCATTGCTTTCTATGTGAGTTAAATGTTGCTGGAGTAGTCCATAGGGGCATGCATAACTGACAGGAAAACAACTTGCAGAGTCATTGCATAAACGAAAAGATTGTGCAATCCTGATAATGGAGAATTTCTGCGAATGAAAAAGCTACCAGCAGTATTATTGATCAAATGAAGAAAAAAAGCTTGCATAAGAGGAAGGGAAGGCGAAGATAACGTACTGGCAAGTTGAAAAAGTTTGGAAGTACATGCAATTGAATTTATACTAATAGAAAACAATTGTGACAAAAAGCTAGAAACCAAGGGCATATGGTTTCCCTACCTAAACTTGTGCGTAGCATGTTGTTGTTGTTTTTTTTTTATATAATTTAATTGGCGTCAATAAAATGAATCATCCATGAAACTCATAACCATGAAAATATGGTTTATGACAATCATTATTTTTTTGTCGTTAAGAATTGTGTTGTGATTTCGATCTCAACTCATTCATGTGCTCGACTATGACAATAACAATTCATCACTGGCAACATCTGCTGTCACTGCCTGGATCACGCCTCAATTTTTATAGTTTTATTATGTTAGCTGAACTGGAAACGACATCCACAACACCTCTACAACACCATATGGTTCAGTTCTGGGACAAATGTTAACTTATTGGATCTTATCCTATAGATTTTATTATTGCATTTGAAACTGATAAAAAAGGACATAGAAAAACAATTTTGTATTGTATTTGCAATAGCAACAAGAGAGTTTTGTGTAAGTGAAGAAAGAGTAATGAATGTTGTTTATCAATTTGAATGGATGGCACGAAATTAAAGGCAAAGGATGTTGCTGTCATTTTTAAGCTTTGAGCATTTTGCAAATATTTTTGCTTGAAAGGATCAAACCCTTTTTCTAAAACATATTCACCAGCTATGTTTATAATTATAAGACATCATTGACTTAAAAAAAAAAACACCTTGTGTCAGGCACACAAACAAAAGCTTTATGGAGAGTCTGTGCAAGAACTTTTGTTGTACAGTTGTGGAAAAAAAATGCAAAACCATATTGATAATGCTCATGGATAGAGGATATGTTGGCTTGCACACATGTTAACTTAGCTTTTGAATTAATCTGACAGTGTTATTACAATCAGGAACATCGATTTTGAGCATGTGGGTATGTGGATTTGAGTGAATGGATGAAGAGCTGAAACATTATAAAGGTGCTTGTAAACAAAAGTGTTTGCTGAAAAAGCTGTTAAGTGTCCTTGCATGGAAAAACTAAAAAGACGAGTGTTTTAGTTTGTGCTAATAAAGTGCTTCCCAGAAAAGCATGATAGCAGGTCCGATGAGATAAATTAAAAGCAAAGCCACCTAAAATTACCTAATCACGGTCAAGTTTAGAAGGGCGTTGGCGTTTGCTTGGTGGATCATTTGCCTCGGAGATGGTTGATGTACCACAGTCTAATGATGTAAATCCGCTTAGAGGATCAGCTACACCAGCTGTTGCAGAGTTGTAAATCAAAAATAAATTAATAAGTTATTTATTTGCCACTCATAAAACAAAAAAATAATTGACATTGTTGAAACTGAAAGGCAAAAGCTTTTAAATGAGAAGAAGGAGCTGCTTGTCACCTTCGGAGAGGAGTTCATCTTCAAATAGCAGTTGTCTTTTTGTTTGTGATGACAGAAGAATAACCATACATGGTTACCTTGGGGAGACCTATGGCTGCTGTGACAAATCAGCATTAGTTCTAGATGGTGCAATGAGCACAGGAGTTGTTGGGTCAGCTTTAGAGGATGATAAAGCTGCTGGATCATGAAGTGCAACCTCAACAACATGCAGCTCTAGTTCAGCAGGCAGATTATGGGCTTCATGCTGTTAACATAACAGGAAAAAAACAAATGAAAGTCTATGAACACACTGTTAACAAATATATGAGAAGATAAAAACGTACAGGAAAAAAACAAATGAAAGTCTATAATGTAGTTAATGTGTTCCACGCTGTTAACAAATATATGAGAAGATAAAAAACAAAGTGACTTGGTGAGAAAAGCTATAACAATATGTTCAACCTGAATAGCCAATTATTCCAAACAATGCATTAAACTAAAAACATGTTCCATGTTGCACTAACAAATTTGTGGAATCAAAAGGGTCAGCTATGAAAAGAACATATGCATGCTGTAACATGAATTAGCCATAGAAATAAAGATGGGAATTTAAAGCACAAATCTGATTGACATCAAAAGGGAAGAGAACATATGACAAACAATATTAAAAACAAACTTCTAGCAAGCAATGCCATTGTTGGCAGGTTCAAAGGCATAAGAAAAAACAGAGAGGCAAGCAGTAGAGCACAAGAAAGCGAGAGCAGTACATGGCAAGTATCCTGAAGCCAATCGAAAAGAAAGAAAACATGCATCACAAACACATCCAAAAGAGCAAGAAAAAGACTAAAATAAACCTTCCAGCCCAAAAAGACATGCACATAGCAGCAGAGTAAGTTAAGCAAGTCGTAATCTCAACAAAGCAGCTATTCAACAGGAAAAAAAAATCTAAAAGAGCTCAGCAAACTTGTTGACGACGGATGCATAACACAAATTATGGTGAAAATGCAATGAAGAGGGAAAAAAGAGCAAACCAATGAAGCAAAGCCAAGAGCAACATATGGAGTTTAAAGCATGAAAGGAAAAAAGAGCAAGCCAATAAAGCAAAGAGCAACATATGGAGTTTAAAGCATGATGGAACGCGAGGAAAGGCAAAAATAAAGCTGGGCAACCTGCAAGCAATAAAATAAAAAGATGCAAATTCCAACATAAAATGATATTGCACCCCAGCTAAATCTTGCAGAAAGAACAAACGTTAATGCAGAGGTTCTGCATCAAAAGCAATGTGACATGAATGTTCAAAACAACCAAGCAAAAGGCCGGTTTAAAATCAGCTAACCTTAACAGCAACAAATGAAGTAACACCAAACAAATGTTTCAGAAAACTAACTAAACAGGGGTAACAGTAGAGGCAATGGAGAAAAAAAGATGATTAAACTGTTGGTTTAGCAACCGATGGCCAGAGAGTAATGCACAGACTTGAAAGTAAGAGGAAAAAAAATAAAAAATCCTCGCCACAATGACTCTCAAGAACTGACATGTCACCACCTAAGAAACAAAAGATAGGAAAATTCAAAAACACCACCCAGCAGAGGTCCATCACATGCATTGAGACAACGAAGGGCAAACTAAAAGAAAAAGCCTTGCCTGCAAGCTAAAAATGAACAAGAAAAACCGAATTCTAGTCAGGCCAAAAGGAGAGCACAACCTGAGGCACAATGAGATCATATGCTGAGAGTGTAAATCCTAGTCTTAAATAAACATGATGTTATTCCCCAAACAAACCATAGCAGCTCTCCCAATATTGGAGAAAGACCCAGTGCGAGGGCATATGGGTGTTATTAATGATGCCACTGCCCCCTTCATTTAATGCACAATGATTCTCAATTGACAATAAAAGTGGAGCTAGAGCCAAACAAGCCTAAGAAAACAGCTGAAGAAAGGCCAGCCAAGCTTCTAGTCCTCACACAGGACAGAAAAAAACAGCAGAGAAGCCAAGCCAATCTCCAATAAACTCAGCCAGACAACACCTTCCACAATGCTTAAAAGAACCCAAACTACAACAGCTAACCCACTTTTGTGAAGATTGAGAAAGCCTGAGCGTGAAAGGCAGAGACCGAGCATGAAAAAAAAAAAAAACTGAAAGGGTATGTTGACTCAAGGGACTATTCTAATCCATAGTATCACGAGTCTTGATCTTGATGAATAGGATTTTTGTTACGTGATTTAGTTTTTTTTGTTAATGTTAATGTTAATTTGACCGCAATCAACAATATTTGCATCACTTAATTTTTACTCCCTATGAAGAGAAGAATTTTTATGTTGTGGATTCCTATTCCTTACGCAACAATTTTTATGTTGTGGATTCCTATTCCTTAATTTTTTATACATTATTCAAAAAGAAAAGAAAAGAAAAGAAAAGAAAAGAAAAG